ATGGATTTGGTGCCGCGTGGCCCCCGGATGCCGCTTGGTCGGGGAATCCACTGGTAAAATTTGGCGTCGAGGGAGTTGAAATACGCAGATAGGGAAAGACATACACAGAAACGTACACATATACCATAGGTTGTCAAAATATGCGTTTACATACACGCAAAAACGCATTAAAATGCGGTATGCTGAACAACCTAGCATAACTGCGACTGTCACACGGTAGCATTCCAGTAATCGTCGCTAACATGAGATACCGACACCGATTGCCCGACTTATCATGTAATTAAAAAAAACAGCCTTACATAGCTTCAAAGACCGTTAACGAGTATCAAAAGTTGAAAATCCGCGCTTACGTTTCGAAAATTGTTATAGAAATGGCGGGCAAACCATAGTGCAACGCCAAAATATAAGCATGGGGATGAAATACTAGACAAATCTCGAAACGTACAAAATTCAGCGTCCAGGTGCTGCCTCAGCACATCAAAGTAGCCCATCTTGAAAGAAAAAAGTCGATTTCTCCCCACGTTCTACAAGAGGCTGAGGTAACCTGAGCGGTAGCGAATTCCAGAAGCAACCACTCAGTGGTAAAACTGTTGACAGCCCTCACTTTCTCAGATGACTTAAAAGCATGCTTATGAAGGATTTATTTCTCTGGCATATGCTAATATCAGTTTATCATCGAAACGAATGAACGAATTGTGGAGGAATTGGTCATCTTATCAGTAGGTCGAACTTCAGTACGAGGGAAGCACCGCTTGTCGCTACACCGCTGATTACGACGGAACGTAATGGAAAACTTAGTACTATACTGAAACGATAAAAAGCAAACTTAAAAAAGCGGTAATAACACTGGAAAACTATAATAGCGTTAATAATAATAATTGTAACAATAAAAACAATATTAATAATGATAATTATAGTAATGGTAACAGTAACAATAATGATAACAATAATAACAATAATAATGACAATAATAATAACAATAATAATACAATAATAACTATAGCAATAATAATGAGGAGAGAAGATAATAGCAAAAGTGAAAAAAAAGATAAAAAGACGTAAAAACTGAAATACCGGTAAATCATTGTACCCCGCCAGCTTTGCTAAAAAAAGATATAAAAGAAAAAGTATTGGAGGAAACTCACTGCGAATGTGCGGAGAAAAATGTGCTATTTACGAAATCGATGATTCGCTTTTTTCATAAATTTTAATGAGGTTGTCCTTTTTGAGTCCTTTCTCGGAGTATCCACATAAATCCAACGAACTGATCTCGATGCAACCACAAAAATACATTATCCAAAGGTAGAAGGACAGATGAGGTAGGATAAAGGTATTAATCTGACTCATCCCTATGCCATTCAGCAGCTGCTCCGTTCCCATGAGCTAGTCAAACACTTTCCCGTGAGGACTAGTTCCCCTCTCCCTCAAAAAAGGGGCTTTTCAAGTTTGAGAGATTCTGTATGATCATGGAGCGAAATTAAATACGTGAATTTAAGAATATGAAAAATCCTTGGCTAGGATGCTGGGTGAAAATGCGATCAAAACTGATCACACCTACGAAAGATCAATCAATCCTGCCTGTTCCCACAAAAACAAGCACATTGCAAATAAAATTCGGAAATGACATACTTCTTTCACTGATATGATGCAAAAAGATTAAGCTGCTTTGATTTACGACATATTTTAAAATTTTCTCGATATTTCCTGTCTTAAATTAGCTTAATTTCAACTCGCTACAATCGCCATGACATGCCAAAGGAACAGTTGTACCTAAATATCAGATTACAGGTAATATGCCTTAACCCTATACGTGGTATAGCGTCCCATTCACACATTCCAGAGAGGCTCGTTACTTGCATATATATCCAGGATGAGTTGCGCCGCCGACTAGCTAACTCGAGTATCTGTGATGTACTGTAGATGAACTAGGACTAAACTGAATAATTTGGTTCTCGGCTCCACCACTGCAGAACATCCCGAATAAGAATCAGCGCTGAACTAATAGCCGTTTCAAATATCAAATAAGTATCGCCAGTTTATGTATCGTGCAGACCACCACAAAATGGACTGATTTTATTTGAAGGAATACAAAAAAGTGCTGAAAAATTCAAAATGAATTTCGAAAGTAACTTCCCAGAAAAGGAGAGAGAAGGAACATCAGCCGCAGATGCAGCTGCAGCAGCTAATGGAACAAGGGCAACGTATGGCAATTACATTTGTCAATGTAAATGATATTTCGCAGTTCCATCTGAATGTACTTATACTTACACACACACATACATACAAACGCACTTCACATACACCCAGATGTACACACACATATACACACACATACACACACATCCCTGTGGACCAGATGTTCTTCTGTAAATATGAACATATATCATTTTTTGCATAAAAACTGACAGCCACAGAGCTACATCGACAATCCACTATGGTAGCCCAATACACAAAAATGAACTCAGTCTAAAAACTAAGAGCTGAATTTTCCCAACAAGTTTTTGAACAAAAGGCCAAAAGCTGAATTTTTTTTCCCAACAGTTTTTCCTGGGCAAATGACAAGTTTTCTGCCGAATACGCAAGAGCTTTACAGAACAAAATCTTACATTCATACGCATGCAGCATAGGATCGGAGGGCCTGGCACAGCTGTACCTAACGGTGAAAGCATTCCAGTAACATCGCTAACATGGGATACCCACAATGACCGCCTATGCGAGCGTTTTGATCTCCGTTTTGGTATTCACGCGTGCTTATATATGTATAGAAAGAGCAGCACCGAAAAACAAATTTATCAACTGATACAAAATGAAAAAATTTACTATCAATTAAAGATTAATAGAATTATAGCGAACAATGAAACATAGTTACTTGAAGTTTATCACTGAGAACCGCCGAGCTCATAGCCTTTTTGGGGAATGAAACGAAAGACGTAACTGCCAGCAGGCTGTCCATTAGGTAATGCAGCATATTAATCAGAAAAAACGGAACATTTACCATGTGCACAGCT